AGGAACCTCAAATTTGTGCTCGACCACGTTTTTACCGAGGGGGCCACGCAGGAGGAGGTGTTCCAGCACACCACGCTCCCTCTGCTGGACGCCCTCCTCGCTGGCTACAACTGCTCCGGTAAGCCCTGGCACAAAGCTCTGATCCTTGCAGGAGCCCCTGCCCCATCCGCTCCCAGGCTGGGTGGGCTCAGCAGAGCCCTGAATTTAATTCGGAAGCCCCCACGCATCTTTGAGAATGGGATGACACAACAGCAACCCAAAATCCCACAGCCTGAAGCTTGTCGGTTCCAGCAGTGCTTGGCACTCTGGGAGTCGGGGTGGAGAGGATGGGTACGGGCATTGGGGTAGAGGTGAGGCTGGGCAGGAGCTGTCCAGGCATTTTCAGGGACAAGGATCACTTGCTCTTGTCTGTCTTGGGCCAGGAAGGATGAGAAGAAATGTGGTGGATGCATGGGGAAAGAGCCTTGGCTCTTTGCCATTCCCTCCCAGGCTGAATGGCTCCGTAGAACGGGGTCTGACAGCTCCAGGACAGCTCCCACAGCCCCTGGCTGCTGCTGCAGCCCCCGAGCCAGCCGGCAGCTGTTGGGTGTCACGGGCACAACCCTGGGGGAGCCCAGCACTCTCCAGGCTCACCTGAACCAGGTGCTCGGACCAGGGGATGCTGTTCCAGCTCTGGTGGTTCTGAGAGCCACTGAAGGGCTGCCCCTGTCTCCAAGCTCCAGCACTGAGTGCTGCCCTCGGGAGGAAGGCTGAGGCCCCAGATCGTGTGGGGGCTTCAAAGGAGGTGCTGGAAGATGGGGGTAAAAGAGGGGAAGCAGAAATGCCTCATGGGGAGAGGGTCAGAGGTGACCTGAGCATGGGAGCAGCCCTCATCTGGAGACTCATTCTGTCCCTGCTGCATTAGAGAGGCTGAAACCGGGGGGAATGTTTCCCTTTGGAGCAGTGGGGAAAGTTACGAGTTTTACTTCCTATGTGGGAAGTTCCTCTGCTCTGCCCTGCCCTGCCCTGCTCTGCTCTCCAGCCAGGACCCAGCCTTCTGCTGCATCAGGTGAGCAGTGATAGATCATTTCACCACCCACCCCTTCTCCTTCCAGTGTTTGCCTACGGTGCTTCAGGAGTCGGGAAAACCCACACCATGGTGGGCTCCAAGAGCAGCCCTGGCATCGTGCACCTGGCCACGGTGGAGCTGTACAAGAGGCTCGAGGCCATGAAGGACAAGAGCTGGGAGGTCCTTGTCTCCTACCAACAGGTTTGCTGTCACCCAGCGTGTTCCCCCCTGTCTCAGTGTCCCCAGGGAAGATTTGGGGTTGATCCAGAGCCTGTAGTGCCACACTCAGAGTACACACAGTGTCCCCTGCTGTGCCTGACTGGAAGCAGGGTCACCCACCCGGTGGAGTGAGCTGGTGCTGCTGGTTTCTGCCAGCTGGAGCAGGGGGCTCTCCCTTGCCGTGCTCACAGAGAAGTGAGAACTTCCTGGCTGGAAGGGCTGGAGAGGAGCAGGGTTGAGGGAACTTCCCAGCAAAGCTCTGGGAGCTGTCCCTGCTTTCTAAGCCCCATCAGCTGCTCCCGGTGGAATGAGGTCCCAGACATGGGGTCAAGGGGAACCCCCAGTTTTGCCAGACCCTGCAGGGGTATCCAGCTCTTCTCCCAGCTCCATCCCAGAGAATCAAACCTCAGCCCAACCTCGAATTCCTGCTCCAGGTGTACAAAGAGTGTGTCTACGACATGCTGGAGCCCGGGAGCCCACTGAACGTCTGGGAGCAGCCCGGGAAAGGAGCTGTGGCACATGGCCTCTCCTTCCACAAGGTAGGAGTGGAAGAAAGGGCACAAGAAAGGCACAAGGGCTGGGACTGACTCATCTGCAGCGGTGCTGAGAGCGGCTGGCAGTCCTGGGGACAGGGGGTGTGGAGGTGGCAGTGCCTCCTGGCTCCTGGCTGGCAGCAGACGTGGCCTCCAGCTGCCACGGGCCCGCAGAGCTGCCGGGTGCCTGGGCCCCACTGCCCGGGGCTGCTCGGCCTCGGCGCGTCCGGCTGCCGTGTCCAGGTGCTGATCCGGCCCCTGCGCCTTCTCCCCCAGCCCACGTCAGCAGAGCAGCTCCTGGACATGTTGGCCAAGGGCAGTAAAAACCGGGCACAGCGTCACACCAAGGCCAACGCCACCTCCTCCCGCTCCCACGCCATCTTCCAGGTGAGGGCTGCTGCCTCTGGGATCGCTCCCATTGCTGCTGGAAACGGGAAACTGCCAGCAACAACATCCCAGGGCTGTCCCCCTCAGCACTGAGCTGGCAATTTTGCTCCCCAGGGGCTCTGTCCATGTGCTCTCTGCTTCCTCGGTGCAAAGCTGCCACTGGATTTCCATGCCAGCCAGGCCCCTGCCCGAATTCGCAGGGCTGTCACGGCAGCCTGGGCAGACGGAGCCTCTGGCTGTCACTTCAGCCTGAGCCTGCTGCCTCGCCCCTTGCTGCTTGCAGGGGAGCAGCCCAGGTGTCTGGATGCTTTTCTTGTCCCTCTGAAGACCTGACCAGCCATATCCCTCTCTATCATCGAGTATGGGAGATGCTGATTGTTCCCACAGCTGTCCTTTCCTGCCAGATCCCTCCTCTGGCTCTGCTCCTTGTGTCATCACCAGGTGTTTGGCTTGTCTTCCCAATGTGCCAGGTTCCTCTCCTCCTCCTTCCTCATCTCCCCACAGGATTCACTGGCTCTTCCCCTGAAAACACAGAGTTCTGTCTCCCAGAGCACCTGTGAGGAGCCGCAGCCTCGGCCCTTTCTGTCCTTGCAGATCCAGGTGAAGCAGTGGGACACCGGTGGTGGCCTGGCCGGGGACTCGCTCGTGGCCAAGCTGAGCTTCATCGACCTGGCGGGCTCGGGGCGAGCGTGGGACACACCGAGCCGGGGACAGGGGCTGCGGGAGGCCACCAGCATCAGCCGCTCGCTGCTGGCCCTCAAAAGCGTTGTCCGCGCTCTGACCGGAGCCAAGGTGAGGCCGCTCCCGGCCGGGCTCTGGCTCTCCGGGACGGGTCCGGGAGGGTGTCCCCAGGGCTGAGCGCAGCCTCTGTGTCTCGGGACAGGGCAGACAGAACCACGTTCCGTTCCGGGACAGCAAACTGACTCGCCTGCTGAAGGACTCTCTGGGCAGCAGCTGCCGCTGCACCGTGATCGCAGCCGTGAGCCCCGCGGCGCCCGCCGGCCCCGACACCTGCAACACGCTCCGCTTCGCCAGCCGGGCCAGGCACATCCTGCTGCCGGTGAGCACCGGGAGAGCCCTGCCGGGGCTGGGGCGGGAGCGTGCCCGCCGGGGTGCACTGCTGCCTCCCGTACCCCGTGGGAATCTCCCGGCCCGGGGGTGCCGCTGCGGGCAGGAGCTGCCGATGGAGCTTCAGCAGCGTGAGCCCGCTCTGCTGCTCAGCCCAGACCCGCAGGGCTTTTGCCCACGGCAGCAGGTCTCTGAGCACGGATCGTGTCCCCTGCAGCCAGCCGGGGGCCCTGGAGCCTGGAGGAGGCCGAGGAACGGCCCTGCTCCACCCCCAGAGATGGGTCCGTGCTGCCCCATTGTGTTTTAACCACCTCCTCGTCCCACTCCCTGCAGCTGCAGTGCTCCGGGATGTCTCTCTGCAGCTCCAGAACAGACTCCCTGCTCGATCTGCAGTCCCAGGCCAGTACACCAAGTCCCCTGCTGCAGGAGCTGTCTGGGCACCAGGAACAGAAGTGAGTGTCCTGGTGTCCTCCTCATGTCCTGCTGCCTCTTCTCGGCCTGGGCAGACTGGGTTGTCCATGGTCTGGATGGATGTGGGACCAGGGCTGTGCTTGGAGATGCTGGCCTGTCCCGGGTCCCTTGTCACCCACAGCTGCACACACACCTGGCAGCTCAGGCTCTCCAGGAAGGGATTTACAGCTTGGGAATGTCCCAGCTTCCAAGTTTGACTCTCTTACCCCAAAACTCTACTCACAGCCTCTGCCCTGATGAAATGAGTGTGAAGACAAACGAAGTGGAGGTCCTGGCCCTGGAGGAGTCCATAGGGTCGGTGGAGGCCTTAGGGCTGGAGGAAGCTTCTCCTCCCTGTAGCCCCACAGAGCCCAGCGAGGCTGCCCCAGCCCCGGGAATGCAGCTGAGCTGTGCCGGTGAGGATTTGGGGTGGGGACAGTGGGGCTTGGCCCCTCTTCTGTGTCTGGATGGGTGCTGGAGCTGGGACACAGCTCCCGGCCGCGGTGGGCACGGGGCAGAGGAACGGGGGTGTCCCCAGGTGCCACCAAGCGGGTCGTGCAGAGCGATCCGAGCTCGGCAGCACCTCAAGCAGGAGCCGGGAGTAGCTCTGGGCTCCGGGGGAGCTCAGCTCGTGTGTGCGAGACAGCTCCCACGAGAGGGATCTCCGTGCCCCAGGAGCCCAGAGCAGCAGATCTGAGCCGCGCTTCTCCCGTCTCCGTCACTCCTCCCTGGTCCTTCAGCCGGGATGGAGCCTCAGCCGGCAGCCGGCTCTGAGCTCTTCCTCCTCTTCCTCCTCTTCCTCCTCTTCCTCCTCTTCCTCCTCTTCCTCCTCTTCCTCCGTGCCACGGCGCGATCCTGGGAGCGGGGCGGGTTCTGCAGACCCCGTTTGCGGGGGACAGCGCAGGCATTGCCCGGGGCACCGCCCGTGGGACCAGCCCGGCGCCTGTGCCGGCTCTTTTCCTCGGAGCTGGATGAGCTTTGATGGAGCAGGGCTGCTGCGGGGCTGGGCGGGCAGGTCTGCACTGAGCTGGGGGGCACAGGGCTGCTCCAGGGGTTGGGGTGCTCCCGAGCTGCAGACAGGGAGGTGACTCTGTTTCTTCTCTGCTCTTTTAGCCGAGGCCCCTGTCACCATGCCAGATCCCGCTGTGCCCAGCCCCGACCCGGAATGCTTCCAGGAGCTCTCTCCGTGCTCCAGTTCCAGGTCGATGTCTCCCGGGCCGGTTAAGAGGATGCTCGAGTCGAGCAGAGATTCCCAGTCAGAAAATTCCCGCAGTTCCTCCCGACCACGGAGGAAGCGCCAGCAGAGTCCTGGGAAGGCAGCAGGGACTCCCCAGGCAGCGCAGAGCCCTCCTGTGTCCCCGGGGCCGCGTTGTGTCAGCCTCCAGCCGTCCCCGCCGGGCACCCCAAGCCCTGGCACCCCGGCAGCAGCGGCTGCACGGAGCCCCAGCTCCCTCCCCGGCCCGGCTCCAGAGCTGCTTCCCCCAGGCGCTGAGCAGGAGCAGCCAGAGCTCCGGGCAGCCCTCCCGCATCCATCCCCCAGCACCTCTCCCAGCGTTCAAACTCCAAACGCCTCCAGTTCCTCTCGCCCCCGTTCCTCCTGCAGCCCCGCGAGCATCCGCTCCTGCCCCGCAATGCCCTCCTGCCCCTCGGTGTCCTCCTGCCCCTCATTGCCCTCCTGCCCCCCCGTGCCCTCCTGCCCCTCGGTGTCCTCCTGCCCCTCATTGCCCTCCTGCCTCCCCGTGCCCTCCTGGCCACGGTTCTGGAGGCAGCTGCGTGCCCCTGTTCCTGTCCCCTCTGCTGGCTCAGTCCTGTTTGTGTGTTTGCAGGTTATGGGTGGGTTTAGAGAATAAGTTATTGTGTTTTTAATAAATTGTTCCACTCCAAATCCAAGGGCAAACATGTGGCTGTTCTCTCCTGCCTCGTCGTGTGGAGAGCCCAGAGAAGGCTCTTGCTCTGGGCCTGGGCTCCATCCCCTTTCTCCATCATCCCAGGGCCTGTGGGTGCCTCTGCACCCTTTGCTGTGGGAGGCCTGGCCCCTCTGCTGAGTGTCCCAGAGTGCAGGTGAGGGGTGTGGGGGACACACGGCCATGGCCATCCATGCCAACATCCCAGTCAGGTGAGCTGTCCCACTGTGTCTCTGTCATTGCAGTGGGATCACGGCCCTGCCACTGCACATTCACATTTCGAGTTCTTGTTTGCTCCCCATGCTGTGACTGTTTGTGTGCAGGTACTTCAGAGAGGGGATCAAGGAACTGTGTGGGGTGTGGGAGGTTTCCCCACGGCGCTGATGGGGTTTGCCCTGTGAGCCGAGGAACATCAGGCTCCACTGGCTGGCCTGCTCTCCTCCCAGGAGGAAGCAATGGCACAAGCATTGCCACTTTGGAACCCACTCCCCAAGCCTTTCCATTTAAAGCCCCTCTGGTCAGATTGGCCAGCCCACAGTTGAAGGTTCTCTTGCCCTCTCTAACAGGCGCCAGTCATGAAAGCACAGCCCAAAGAGCCAAAACCTTCTCAATGGCACCAGCCATGAAGATGTTGATCTGCATTAGAGATCCTCTCTAAGTTCCCATCCAACTCAAACCACGATGAGATGTTGAGGGTTCCACTGGTCCCAGCGCAGCTCCATTGTTGCCAGGCACGTGGGTGACAATGCTCCAGAGCTGCTGGGGACAGGCAAGTTCCAGAGGGGGTGACAGGCTGGCCTGTTTCAGGGCAGGATGCTCCCAGGAGATGCCTGGCTGGGCTGTGTGAGTTCTGCTGGGCCAGAGAGCACCTGGAGCGATGGGGAGGAGGCTGCTGGGAGCCACCATACTCCTGTCCCTGGTGGATGTTCTCCAGGCCTTTGCCATCGAGAAGAAAGGGGATGTGTTCAAGAAGATGGCATGTCCCGCCTTCCTGATATTCGAGAACGTCGCGTACTTGGCGGACATGACCTTTGAGCTGCCCTGCAAGTGCAAGCCTGAGGAGGTCTCATCTGTTGTCTGGTACTTCCAGAAGAACCTGCACAGCCACAAAACCACGGTGCTGACAGACTTCAACGGCACCGTGATTGTGGACTCGAGCCACATCCGCGTGGGCAGCGACCTCCTGAAGCGCTTCAGCATCCGCATGTTCAGCCTGCTCGTGTTCCGAGCCCAGGTGAGGGACTCGGGCCATTACCTGTGTGGCACCAAGGACGGGCTCTTCTTCTATGGCTACGACGTGGACGTGCAGCCCACCAGGAAGATCACGGTGACTTTTCTGGATAAGGACCAGCACGTCCAAGAGGATTACACAGGGAAGGAATTCACCCTCTTCACCACCTTCTGGGACTGGACGAGCTGTGACCGCTGCGGGGTGCGGGGTGAGCAGCGGCGGCTCGGGCTCTGTTACGTGCAGAGTGCCCAGCTGAAGCCCCGGTACCGCACAGCGCTGCCCAACGTCACCTCCTGCGGCTCCAGGGCTGTGCCCGCACACTTCCAGCGCCTCCTCCACCTCCGCAGCCCCGAGGTGGCCATCCGGAGCTGCCTGGCCCCTTGCCCAGAGAAGGAAGTCCCCGAGGAGGGCGTGCAGTCCATCTCCAACATCATTTACAAGGTGGGGGAGAAGCCCCACCTGCCCCGTGTCCCCATCCAGTACCACAGCCAGCCCCCCAAAAGTGACCTGGTCATCACGTGCCCGGGAGCGCGGCCCGAGCACGCCGTGGCCTGGGACAAGGGCTCCGTCCGGCTCTACCGCTCCCACTACCTGGTGGGGGTCAGGAAGCACATGAGGCTCTTCATCGACCACGGGAACCACCTGCACCTCCAGCGATTGCACAGGAGGGACAAAGGCACCTACTTCTGCTGGAGGGAGGGCGAGCTGGTGGCCGGCTTCCAGCTCAGTGTCCCCTTCCAGCCCCGGCGCCAGCGGAGCCCCTCTGACCCCGAGTCAATCTTTGTCATGAGGGCTGTGGGCATCAGCTTTGCCATCATCACCGGCATCTTCTTCCTCATCCACATCATCCACACGTGTCTCTGCAGATGTCAGGTGTTCAGGAAACCTGCCAAGTAACAGCAGCTCCCCCGCTGGACACTCGGATACCCTGGATCACCCTCACGTAGGAAATTTCCAATGTGAGGAACATTTTCGTATATTTTGGTTTCAACATATTTTTCAATGTTTTGTTTCGACTTTTTGAAGGCAAAAGAAATTTTTTCCAAATTAATCTGGCAATTTTCTTCAGAACTCTCTCTGCTTTTGAGGTGTTTTTAACTCACCCAACTCAGCACAGAATTAGGAGTCAATATTTATTCCTGACAGAGCTATCTTACACATCCCCCGAAGGTGGTGGCACCTCTGCAGGGTTTCAGCAGGGAGCAGGATGTGCCCTCCAGGCTCATCTCCTTTGTTTGAGGATGTGACTTGAGGATTTCAGCCTTCTCAAGAGAAATTCTGCTGTCCTGTGGGTCCCAGCCACGCTCTGGCACTTGAGCTGTGTCGATGATGGTGAGAGAAACACCTGGTGATGACATGAGAATCAAAGTCAGGGAGGGAGGCAGATTGCTGAAAACAATCTGCATCTCCCACACCCAGGGATGGAGCAGGGTACAGCTGGTTGGGTCCTTGAAGGGCAACAAATGAACAAATGAAGCCCCAGAATGAGCCGGGATGGGCTCACACACAGAGGCAGCTCCAGACCTGACTCTCCCTGGGGACTTTGCCACCAAACTCAGCCCCCAGACAGAGCCTGACAGTCCCCAGGGAGGCACCAGCCAGGGCTGTGGGTGCCAAGCCCAGGGCTGGTGCAGGCCAGGGGGAACACTGCTCTGTGCCTTCCCCTCTGAATCCCTAAAAATCTCCAGGTAGAACCCAACGTGCTTCCCCCAGTGCCCTGCAATCCCTTCACCCCCTCCAGGAGCAACTCCTGCAGGGACAGAGGTGCTGGAAGCTGAGGACTGCTCCTGTATCCTCACCAGCCCGTGGTTTGCTTGTTGGGAGGCAGAGCTGGCAGCGGGAAGGGCAGATTTCCAGCACAGCTCAGGGATTTGTGCAGGCAGGAATCCAGGATCCACCAACGAGCCCAGCTGGGAGCTGGCTGGAAAAGCATCCAGACACCTGGGCTGCTCCCCTGCAAGCAGCAAGGGGCGAGGCAGCAGGCTCAGGCTGAAGTGACAGCCAGAGGCTCCGTCTGCCCAGGCAGCCGTGACAGCCCTGCGAATTCGGGCAGGGGCCTGGCTGGCATGGAAATCCAGTGGCAGCTTTGCACCGAGGAAGCAGAGAGCACATGGACAGAGCCCCTGGGGAGCAAAATTGCCAGCTCAGTGCTGAGGGGGACAGCCCTGGGATGTTGTTGCTGGCAGTTTCCCGTTTCCAGCAGCAATGGGAGCGATCCCAGAGGCAGCAGCCCTCACCTGGAAGATGGCGTGGGAGCGGGAGGAGGTGGCGTTGGCCTTGGTGTGACGCTGTGCCCGGTTTTTACTGCCCTTGGCCAACATGTCCAGGAGCTGCTCTGCTGACGTGGGCTGGGGGAGAAGGCGCAGGGGCCGGATCAGCACCTGGACACGGCAGCCGGACGCGCCGAGGCCGAGCAGCCCC